AGGGCCCCAGGTCCCAGCTTATCTCACACTCACCTGACAAGCAGCAGAACTGATCTACTGATTCCAATCTGTGGTGAAGGAAAGTACAATACTAATTGCAAAGTGTCAAGCAAGGATAATGGGCAGCTAATGCTCAAGCCCTGAACTTCTGGATGGCTTTCAGCGAAGGGGTTTTAAAGACAACATTAGGGGTGAGTGTTAGAGGTGACTGGCTTGATTGACTGATGAGGAGGTGACAGGATGAAGTTTCAAAATCTCAGCCATCTACTTTCTGAGTCCAACCAGTCTGGGGTCTGTGTGTTGGTGGTCAGTATGCAGTTAGCTTCTACCTGGTGGGGGTTCTAATATCTCCAAAACAATTCAAAGATGTGACTCAGGGTATTATCTATAGTCCTTGGGGAGGAACTAAAGGTCCTTGACTGTTTTATGGACAAACGATTAAGAGTTTGTCTTGCTTTCTTTTGCTTTTGCATTTTCTCACTTCTTTGGTTAAAATGGCTCTTTGGAACTCAGGGAAGGCCTGGGGGGCTAAAGCTTTTCTACAGACAAGAGGCAGTGGACTCAGGGGTCTGATTCAGGGAAGGCCCCTTAGAGTCCTGTTCCATCCCACTTAGAACAGCCAAATTTAGAGACAGAAAGTTGACTGGTGGTTTACAGGAGCTCGGTGAGGGGAGACAGGGACACTGTTTAATGGGTACAGAGTTTCAGTTTGGGAAGGTGAAAAAGTTCTGGAGATGGACGGTGGTGATGATTGCACAGCCGTGTGAAAGTATTAATGCCACTGAATTGTACATGTAAAAGTGTTAAAATGGTACGTTTTATGTTATGTGTATTTTATCACAATAAAAATATGAAGCAAAATAGGGTGAGGACATAAACTGAGGTAATAAAGTAAGTAGGATGGATATTTTTTCCTACCAGTTGGGGTCAGAATGGAGAGTGTGATAGGATTGTGACATTTCTTTTTGCTACATAAACTCTTATGAATCCCTCTCCCTCCCCTCCATTTTCTCTGAAAATAATGAGTGATAAGGAAAAAGGATCTTTATATCCAGTTATAAAAAGAGCAGTAGAAGTAACTTCACTCATTCCAAACAAACAGGTTTCTTTCTTCCTCAGAGTTGCCTTCTCTTCTCCTCCTCCTCCCCTCTAAACAGGACACCGGTCTGATTGGAAATGGTAGCAAAGCTCACCATTCATTCACAGTAAGGGCTCAATAAAAATATCTATGAAAATTGATACTTACAAAGTATGCATTTCATGAGAATCTACCAAGAAGGGAGCAAAGTGAAAATGAAAAGTGTTAGTCGCTCAGTCGTGTCTGACTCTTTGAGACCCCATGAACTGTAGCTCCACCGTGTTCCTCTGTCCATGGGATTCTCCAGGCAAGAATACTGGAGTGGGTTACCATTCCCTTCTCCAGGGCATCTTCCTGACCCAGGGACTGCACCTGGGTCTCTTGCAATGCAGCAGATTTTTTACCATCTGAGGCACCAGGGAAGCCCTAGAAGGGAAAGGCCCTCATGAAATGCAGGGTTCCCTGGGCTATCTTTATACATCTGCACTGCAAAATAGGCAAGAATGACAGAATAGTTTCTTAAGATTATATTTTCCCCAGTGTCTTCCCTTCTCCAAACAAGAAGCAAAGATGCTGTTTGTTGAATAAAGGGAAATACATGACAGAATACTGTCAAGCAGTCCCTAGAAGGAGAGCTGGTGATCAGCAAGCTGTATCAGGCTTCTGAGAAGCTAGGTCCGGCACCTCACAATATTGATCTGCATATTACTGTCTGAAATTTGTAAACATTGAAGAGTTGGGAAATGTCACACAAAGATCTGGGTTTTTGGTTTCTCTTTAAGTATGGGAAGATGGCTTGAACAATCTTGTTTGTTCACTTGGTGACAGCAAGCTGGATCTCTGAGCTGCAGCTGTTGCATTTAGATGGTGTTATTAGTTAGGATGACATAGCCCTTCAGATTTCAGTGGCATAACCTAAGAGAAGTTGATTTCTCATGTGTAACAAGCCCAAAGCAGGTAATTCAGAAGCTGGGGCTCCTTCCTTTCTGTGTCTCCACCATGCCCTAGGACTTGGGAGTCTTCAATTTCAGCCTGCAGAACAGGAAAAAGGAAGTGGAGGAGCATGCCTTTTCTCAACCACCTTGGTCTGAACGTGATATTCTCTGCTCCCTTCCATTGGTGGGTCCCAGCCACATGACCTGCCTTGATGCAAAGGGAGCTGGGAAATTTGGAGCCTGACAAAGGCTCTGTTCTATGGAAGGGGAAGCATACACGTTGGGTGGGCTGGTGCAACTCTGCCGTAAATGGGTGTGAGCATTTCAACTCCCCACAGTCTCACCACCGTCTTTCTATCCCTGAGTGGCCCTGGCTGAAGATGCTTGTAGAGGACGAATCATAGAAAGAGATGGATTCTCTTTCTCTCTCTCTTTTTTTCATTTATTTGCACCAGTTGGAGGCTAATTACTTTACAATATTGCAGTGGCTTTTGCCATATATTGACATGAATCAGCCATGGATTTACATGTGTTCCCCATCCCGATCCCCCCTCCCACCTCCCTCCCCATCCCATCCCTCTGGGTCTTCCCAGTGCACCAGCCCCGAGCACTTGTCTCATGCATCCAACCTGGACTGGCGATCTGTTTCACACTTGATAATATACATGTTTCGATGCTGTTCTCTCAGATCATCCCACCCTCGCCTTCTCCCATAGAGTCCAAAATTCTGTTCTATACATCTGTGTCTCTTTTTCTGTCTTGCATATAGGGTTATCGTTACCATCTTTCTAAATTCCATATATATGCGTTAGTATACTGTATTGGTGTTTATCTTTCTGGCTTACTTCACTCTGTATCTCCAGTTTCATCCATCGCAAGAGATGGATTCTTTATAGAATGAAAAAGAGACTTCCTTGGGTTGGGAGAGAGGCAGAGGTCAGCAGGTCCCTGAGTAGAGGGTCTGTGCGCCTTACCTGTAGTGTCGTCTCGGACACTACACGCCTCTCAGAGGAATGACTGCGCGGCATGTCTTGGTGGCCAGGGTGGCAGCCACTTGTGTGTGTGCATGCTCAGCGCCCCAGTCTTGTCCGACTCTTTGTAACCCCATGGACTGTAGCCCGAAAGGTTCCTCTGTCCATGGAATTTTCCAGGCAAGAATACTGGAGCATGCTGCCATTTCCTACTCCAGGGGATCTTCCAGACCCAGGGATCAAACCCGTGTCTCTTGTGTCTCCTGCATTGGCAGGCAGAGTTTTTACCACTGCGCTGCCTGGGAAGCCTGGATAGCCACCCTTTCTCCACCCAAACGAGTCATAAAAGTGGTAGAGAGCTAAGCTAACTGAAGTAGCATATAGACTTCAACAGAGGCAGCAACTCAGTTAAATTTTCTGGGGCCGGAGGATCAAATGGCTGAGTGCTTCCCTCTCTACTCCATGCCAGGGAACTGTGTAACTCCCTGGGATGAACTCCCCCACCCCCACAGTAGATTAGCTGCTCGGGGTCTACAACTAAGTCATTACATGCAATAATGGATTCGTGACAATTCTTGCACACCTGAGTTTATGGATAGACATTCGTACCCTCTATTCAATTTTGCAATTTTCTAAATGAAGGTGCAGAGGAAGGCAGTGAACCTTGTTCATTTCAGCTTTTTCTGGAAACTTTGCCCTCCACCACCCAAAGCTAAAGCAGGACCTCCTATCCTAGCTCAGTCCCTCCCACATACCACAATAAAGCAAACAAAAGTCCTAACCCTATCAGTTTACAAACCTTTTCAAACTAGGGTTGTTGACACTGGCTGGTGTGATGGTGGAAAGCCCCATGACAGGCATTCTGTGTATTCCTGGTGCATCACTTTTGCTCAAAGATTTGGGAAAATATTTTAATAAGAAACTGGGTTAACTTAAGGAGTAGAAGGTAAAATTCACATTTTAAACAAATGATGAAATTCCAGACTTCGAAAGAACTTTTTTCTTGCAGGAAAGGGCCCTCCCTATTTCAGAGTCCCATGTGGGTCTCCACTGGAGTTCTTCTGAGAAGAACACTTCTGTGGAAAAGTTTGAGCTGTGCTGGCCCTGGGCCTGGGTCTGGTTTGGGCTGACGCTCCCCAGAGGTATCGCTTTCTTGTTAATATCTCCTCACATTTCTAAACGCACAGCTTGTCAGCGCCGGGGAAACCCGAGAGGTAATGCCAGGTTCCAACTCGCTCTTTTCACAAGGGGAAACGGAGAATCAGCAACTTAAGACTTGCCTGGGAAGCATCAGGACTTCCCAGGTCAAAGCTCCTCTCAGGGTCCTTGGCAACCCACGTCTCTTAATCCTGCTTTAACCCTTGGCCCCTTGATGTTTTGCAGAGAACCTCATCTCCCATAGTTCACCCTGCAGTTCCATCCTTGGGGGCTCTGCCTCTCCCCTGTAGTATCTGGCGCCCATGGCGGGGGTGCTTAGGAAAGCTTAGTGAGTTAATGACTGCTGACTCAAACAAATGCATCACAGTCCAGTCCACGGTCTGGGGTCTGGTGAAGATGTAGTTGGATGGGGGTGAGGAATGATTTACTCCGCATCTCCCCTTGCAGCCCACGGACAGGGTCTGAGGTCAGGGTTGGAGGACTGGAACCGGCCTCAAGGGTGCAGAAGTGCCAACGCATGTTGGCAAGGGCAACCGTTTCTAGCCGCCCACGGTTCTCGGGCGGGCAAGCAGCCGAGCCGCCAGGCTGGTGCAATCTCCCGCGCGCCTTGCATTGATCAAAAAGGGTTGAAACAGTAAACGCGAGGTGGAGCTGCTCAGGAGCCGTGACTGCGAAGCGCGACCAATGGGGATGCGAGTCCCATTGCGCGAACCAATCAGCGCAGGGCCAGCGATAGCGCAGGCCGCTGCGGGCGCCTCTCGGAACTGAAAGGGAGCGGAGAGTCCTCGCCAGCTGCAAACTCGCGCTGGCCAATCGATAGGTCCTCTCCAGCTGTCTCGCCGTCCCTGCAGCAGCACCATGGACTCCGGGATGCCGGTGGTCAACTTCGGACCCGGGCCTGCCAAGCTGCCGCGCTCCGTAAGTCCCAGGGAGCGCGCGCTAGGACTGCGCTCCAGGCGGGAGCAGGCGCGTTGGTGTCTGTGCATCCCTGCGTGGAGAGCTCGGATCCCCTCTACCCTCCCCGAGTCCCCTGAATACTCTGCAGAGTGTGCACGCCCAGTTCAGGATACGTCGCGGGTGGGCCTTTGGAAGAATACTTTGGAGAAGGAAACTTGTTGAAGTTTGCTTGCTCAGCTGCCCCTGGCGCCGGCTAGTGGTGCGCCGCGTGCTGAGTTCGGCCTGCCTGGGACCTGCTGGCTCTTTGCGCAACACACCTGCAAACTCAGGCGCTGTGCCTTCAACCGGGTCGGAATGGGGGTGCGGCGGGAAAGAAAAAGCTTTCAACTGTGCATTCGCCTTGCCCAGCAGTGCTGCGAGCCAGGCAATGTTGAGTGGATGCGTGAATGGACATGGTGAATGAGTGGTGAATGGGGATCGTGTTAATTGGAGCGAAGCGTAAACTAGAGGCCCGTGCAAAAGCCCTGGGGAGCAGTGTTGGCTTCAGTTTAGCACTTGGCAACATTGCTTTTCAAAATTGTAAGCTTAAAAGACTCCAGTCCAGCCCAGCCTTTCCCTCTTTGCCTTTCAGAGACGCCACCCGTCCCTAAAGCTGTTCTTCTCTGCTCTGTTTCACGCATAGATTTTTCCACCCTGTACTGGCGTGTACCCTAAAGGCATTCTAATATTCAAGCTCTGCTAGGCACCGGGCAGCTAGCCCAGTTGGCTTCATTTTGTTCTGGAGCAAATGAATGACTGAATTCTCCCCCGGGCCATTACCAGACCTTTCAAGTGCAAGTGTAACTCACTCCCTGCCTTCCCAGCCCCCAGCCGGGCTCCAGCTCCTTCCCTGACCTTCAATACCCACTCCCCCCACCCGCATTCTTCTCCCCAGCCCCCAGCTGTGAAGGAGGCCTAGTCTCTAATGTGCCTTGGACGCGTTGACCAGCTGCCCCTGGTGTTACATTTTGCTTTTTCTAACCAGGATAACTCTGATAATACCTTGTAGCAACATGGGACATAGCCAAGTGCTTTTCAATTATCTATTGTTAAACAGAGTGGAAATATCCCTGGGACAGAGCCTTCTCTGTGTTGTCCTAAGAAGAGAGAATTTTTATAATTTTAGACGGGAAAGAACATTTTGCTTTTCTCAGTGCTCACAGTAGCGGAGAGTACAGGGCTTACTTTTTTCTTACTTATTGCAGTCTGTTTTAGGTGGGATTCCGTCATAAATATGCAAACGTTTCTGCTACCCTCACCGGTTTCCCCCTCTATGTTTTGGAGTCTTTTGCATATTTGTTTCCTGTGTAATTTGTTCTGCATTTATTATAAAGATAATTGTTATCGGTAATACAATTACTTATTATTTATTTTCCTGGAGGATTTATGCCTTCATATGTGCTCTCTAACCTGGGAGGGGGCAGCTGTTTCTATTTATGTGTCTTCTTGAGTTAGTTGAATTATAAAGATTAGAGAAGTTTTGCAAACTTTTTTTTGACTGTAACCATAATGAAAAATATATTTCACGAAGTGAGTACGTACCCATAATTAAAACAAACAGTTTATGAAGTACTTAGCCTGATGACTACAACATACACAATTAATATTCTATTCTGCTCTGGTCTATTCTAGTTCATTAAAAAAAATTGGTTGTGATCCACAAAATGATTGCATTCTTCAGTCTGAAAAAGATAAACTTCACTTGATTAGAGGGGTATGCTTTTGGGGTAGAAGTCTTTAAAGCTTTTTATAATGATTTTGTTTATAAACCTTTATAGATTTTTTTTTTTCCAGAGAATACTATAAGAGAATTCTATAAGAGGAAGGGAGCTGAAAAGAGGTTCAAGGATGACTCTATCACAGATGTTTGTTTATACTAAAGAAAAGGATTCACTATAAGTTTGTTTGATCAGCCAGTGCTAATGTGTCCAACAAAAATGATGACAAATTCTTAAGCCTTCTTTTTTTTTTTTTTTCTAATTCTTTATTGCTGAACTGTTTTTTCATACAGATTGTGATCTAGTTTAGGTTATGTTTTATGAGATCTTCAGCTGGTGTATTTTAAGGCAACCTCCTTTGATGGCAGGATGCTTCTACAAAGGGTTTGTCTAACCTATTTTGTATACATTTTTAGAGCTTTTCTTTCTGATATTTTTACTTTATGGCAGTTCACTCATACTCAAAGGTAGAGAGGGAATAATATAATGAAATTTATAGACCCAGCCAAGATTTAACAACTAAGGACATTTTGCCAATCTTGTTTCAGCACTCACTCCCCTATATCTTAAGCTAGTTCCAAATATTATGTCATTTCACTCCTGTAAACACTGCAGCATAACATCTCTGATAAGGGCTTTCTATTCTTACTGAAATGTGTATGAAATATATAGATGGAATAAGTACATATACGTGTGCGTGTGTGCATGCTAAGTTGCTTCAGTCGTGTCCAACTCTTTGAGACCCCATGGACTGTAACCTGCCAGGTTCCTCTGTCCATGGAATTCTCCAGGCCAGAATACTGGAGTGGGTTGCCATTTCATTCTCTAGGGAATGTTCCCCAACCCGGGGATTGAACCCGGGTCTCCTGCATTGCAGGCAGTTTTTACCATCTGAGTCACCAGGGAAGCCCATATTAAAGTGTGTGTGTGTGTGTGTGTGTGTATGTATATGTGCATATATATGTGTGTGTGTGTGTGTGTATGTATATGTGCATATATATATGTGTGTGTGTGTATATATATATATAAATGAAATAGGTGTTTTTCTTTTCAGGTTATAGTAATTTGCCTTTTACTTGCCTTTGGGAAAAATAACAATGAGGCACCCCTCTAGCAAGTGAGCTGTGTATTTGGGGGCAGTGGGTGGAGAGTGAGCTTTGCCCTCCCCCCTCCTTTCCTGGCACTGGAGGATTGGCCATAAGATGGGTCCCACCTGTCCAGTTGCTCTTGTGAAGCAGAACGTGCTTATGGGATTGCAGTGATCTTACAAGATGGGTCAAAGGGCTGGACAGGGACATACAGTTAAGTTCTTTCGGAGCCTCAGCTGAGATCCCTCACCTGCACACTGGGGAGGAGAACATCACCTTCAGCGCTGTTGCTGAGGGGGCGATCAGTACCCCCATGGGTGTATGTGTGTGTGCTAAGTCACTTCAGCCGTGCCTGACTCTGTGCAACCATATGGACTGTAGCCTGCCAGGTTCCTCTGTCCATGGGTTCTCCAGGCAAGAATACTGGAGTGGGTCTCATCCTCCAGGGGATCTTCCTGACCCAGGGATTGAACCCATGCTCCTGCCTTGGCCGGCTGGTTCTTTACTACTAGCGCCACCTGGGAAGCATCCCAGCCCAATCTTAATTCACATCTAGTGCTTCCTACTTCCTGTCCAACCACCCATTCCGGTATACCAAAAAGATGGAAAATTGAGTTATCGGTTTAATTTGGGCATAAATTATTTTTTGTTGTCCTCTATACCCAGAACTTTTTGTGCTTTTGCTTTCAGAGAGTGGCAAATGCAGTTGTGAGAGTCGCAAATGCTATTGTGAAGTGGACATTTTCTAGGGAATCATGTTTTTCCCAAAGTTATTCTTTAATGGATATTGCAGGTAAAGAATTGTTATTAGAAAACTTACCACTTGATTTTTATTTTACCTTCAAGTGAGTTTTTATCTCTAAATTCGTGCCTTTGGAAAAGCTGTATCTTAGAATCAGTCACATTGCATAAGTTCATACTCAACATGAGTGTAAGTTGCATCATGGGGTTCTGTGGGAACAGGCAGAGAAAGAGGATTGGCTGTGGCCCGGACAGATGCTTCCTCACAGACCCAGAGGGCGGAGCTTCTCCTTGCCCCTCCTCTTTTGCAGTTTGTGTCCAGAGACAGTTGTGCACAGCATACTGAAATCATCCTATTTTCTTTTTATTTTTTTCCCTAGGTGTTGTTAGAGATGCAAAAAGAATTATTAGACTACAAAGGAATTGGGATTAGTGTTCTTGGTAAGATTTACTTTTGGATGTTGTTAATGTCCAGGATTTAAAGGGAACTAACTAAAATGCGTCATCAAGCCTAGAATTTCTACTGGGTCTTCCCATAGGCGTTGGTAGATATATTTTAAAATTTTAATAACTTCCATGGCATGTTTGATCAAAGCAGTTTTGAAATCAACATAAATGCTGGTGAAGGGTTTATACATCTCAGCTTACCGTTTCATAAAAGATCCTGTGCATTTGCATAACAGTGCCCAAACATTTATAATATTGTTTCACATTCTTTTTACAGTTTTTGCTGTTCTTAAACATGAACTCATTGAATGAATAGAAATACACAAGCCTTTTTGGGAAGATCTTGCATGTAATAATTCCGTTGTTTCTCTCCCCTCTGTTATTAGGAAAGATGACCTTTGAGTTCTAAAATGTACCTTTTTAAAAATTTTAATTTTCTTTTTCTTTTTTGGTAGTTCCAGAGGCTACAGAGTATTAAGAGATCATAGGGTTAACTTTGTGTGCTATTGCTATTAAATTTTGTTCCTTAATTTGAATTAAGTAACATGTACTTAAATTTCTGTGAAGGGACAGCACAGTATGGCATTTTGTGCTGTTGTCCTAAAGGGCAGCCTTTGCAAACAATTCTTGTTTGTGAGAAAGTTTTGAGAAATCAGAGACTGAAGAATAAATTAGCAAATGGCTCAGTGAGTGACTATCGATATTTGAAAAAAATCATTCTGCTGTGACAATAAAGTTAAAATGTTTGCAGTTTGAAAATCAATTTGGATTTCCTCTTAAAATGTGTGGTCCATCATTTGTATGCAAAATAACTGACATTTCCCTTTATTATTTTATTTGCAAATTTTGTAGTTACATCTTCAATAACTTTTGTTCCTTTGGTTTTGAACTGGAATTTTTTTAATTGTTATTTATTTTTCCTTCTACAGAAATGAGCCACAGGTCATCAGATTTCTCTAAGATTATCAATAACACAGAGAACCTTGTACGGGAATTGTTGTAAGTATAAAATTTTAAAGACAAAGTTGGGTTTTTCTTGTTTGGCAATCCATATATGTAGGTGTATGTTCCATTACTACATTCTGCTATGTGTTCGGAATATTTCATTCTTAAAAGTTATCTTTTTAAGATTTTTTTAAAAGATCTTTTTAAAGATTCTCCCAGATTCACTAGATCAGTACATAATGCTTTTAATTTGACCCTCATCCTGTGTTTGTGTGTTTATTTTTATTTTATGTGGTTTTTCCAAAGATTTGAAATCACTATATCTGGGAAAATTTTTCAGCACTGTGGAAGTTAAATTAGATTAGAAGGGATTTAAATGATAAGTGGTCAACTTTGTCAGCATAATTAATTGTAATTTAGTTCACTGGCTTTTAAATTATGTGCCTCATACAATCTGTCAGAATCACCTCTTGGGAGAAATATTAAAAAATTCAAGTGGTGGGCCCCACCCAGACTTGGCGAATCACAGCCTCTTTAGAAACTTCATTCTTAACAGACTCTTTGGGCAATTTTAAGGGTTATGAACTCTGGAAACTGCTCCTCAAATGAACTCTCTTAGTTATCTGCACTGCTTTTCTTACCTAGTGGAAACTATATTCTTAAATAGATTGCTGCTTTAAGCTACAGTTTTATGCATTGTATACTCACATGGACATACACATATGGTCACCTTAAAAACAAAACACTTGTTTGTTTTCTGCTTATAACACTGGTGCATGTTCATGGTGGGAAGCTTAGGGGAAAAAACTCACAGATTTAACTGGAATTGTCCATAACCCCACCAGCCAGGAGTAATCACTGTTAAAGTTTTAGGGTCCATCCTTGCATTATTTCATTAACAAAATTGGATTTGTACTAACTGTGTAATAACTTGCTCTGTAAATTGCCTTAATAAAATGCCTCAGATGGGGCAGGCTTAGTGACATTTTCTGAGGAGTGTTAGAAGCCCACGGCAATGTGCACATCAGAGGCAGTCATCATCTGTTTGACTAAGCATGCGGGGCTGCCTCCTGGGTCCCCGTTATGTTCACAGAGCAATCCTGTCCTTCATGAATGCTTGGAATGTTGGCCCAGAGACATGCCATTTGACCCACAGAGCTGTGAGCCTCTCCAGCCTGGACTTGTGGCTCAGTGTATGGGCTAATCCCTTTGGACCCCTGTACCCAGACCTCTGGTGTCCTTCCATCCAGGTCTTGGCCTCAGTCACTGCGTCTGAATAACATAAACCTGGAACCCTGCTTTGGGCTGCTCTCCTCCCAGTTGCCGAGAACTTGATGGTTAGAGCCTCCCAAGGCCTGTCTGCATGCTCTGCTATTCTCCGGAGCCCTGGAGATAGGCAGGCACAGCTCAGAACCAGATACGTGCACACCACCCCACCTGCTGGCAAGCCCAAGACCCTCTCACGTTGCCCGGCTCTTCGCGGCTTTCCTTAAGCCTCTTTTCTGGAGCTCTGTCACCTGTCCGTTTGCCTTCTGCATGGCCTGTTCCTAAGCTCTGACACTACTCAAAAGCTCGGGTCCAGTTTCCATGGCCTCTGGCTATCCCAGTCATAATCTTAATTTTCCACGCTGGAATCAAATCATTTCACTCTTAATCTCAATATATATGGGATAGGTGAAACATGCCTATAGGTCTAAAGGTTTTGGAAGATCCTTCTCCACTGTTCACCTGATCCATAGCATGGACCAGCACATATATACTTTTAGGACTTTTAGTTGCAAGTGAGAAACCCCACTCTTGGCTTAAGCAAAATAAATAAATAAATAAATAAATAAATAAGTGTATTACTTTATAGGACAGAAAAGTGCAGGAGCTCACATGATGTAAGAAAGGTCTTTTCCTCAGTCTCCTGGATCTGCTTTTTTATGTGTTGGCTTTATCAGATGGCTGCTAGTGGTTGCAGATTTTGCTTCTACAAGTTCTTTCCCTCAATAGAAACAGCTTCTCTTTTCTAGAAGTTTGGATCTAAGATTTCAGAACCAAACCCCACTGGCCAGCATGGGTCACGTGCTCATCCCCTGGAGCTGGGGTTGGGCACCCTTGAACCAGCTGGACTGAGAGTGGTAGCCAATGCTTCCCTAAAGGAACAGCAGGGTGTTAGCAAGATTCTGTCGAAACAGTAACCATAGGCTTTCAACACGAAAAGTCAGTGAAAGTGTTAGTCACTCAGTCATGCCCGACTCTTTGCGACCCCATGCACTGTACCCTGCCAGGCTCCCCTTCCATGAAATTCTCCAGGCAAGAATACTCAAGTGGGTAGCCATTCCCTTGTCCAGAGGATCTTCCGAACCCAGGGATCAAACCCAGGTCTCCTGCATTGTGGGCAGATTCTTTACCATCTGAGCCACCAGGGAAACCCAGACTTCCACTGTGGGGCCCGGTAAATATCTGTGCAAAAAATTGAGTAGATAAGTGACTGATGTGGGGAAGGCAGAGGTGGGGCTTTACCATTGCTCTTATAGTGTGCCCACCCCAGGGTGAAGTGCTGGAAGAGCATCACTCATTCTCCATCTTTGACCCTGTTTACTCTCACCTCTGCGTCTGCCCAGAGCCATTCCGGACAACTACAAGGTGATTTTTGTACAAGGAGGTGGGTGTGGCCAGTTTAGTGCTGTCCCCTTAAACCTGATTGGCCTGAAAGCAGGAAGATGTGCTGACTACGTGGTGACAGGATCCTGGTCAGCTAAGGCTGCAGAAGAAGCCAAGAAGTTTGGAACTGTGAATATCGTCCACCCCAAACTTGGGAGTTACACGAGTAAGTGTTGGTAGCTGAGCTGGTCTGTGAAATGCTGGCCAGTGGGTGAGCCCTCCTTAGCTAGCAGTTTACCCCTGCCCTGGGCGATTCTTTCTTCCCCCGTTTGATACCATTTAGATTGGCTGCCTGTTCCTGTTAAGATTACTAACAGGCTGTGCAGAAAGAGTATTCCTAGACTGTTGTGTGCGTGCCTGCTAAGTGGCTTCAGTTGTGTCTGACTCTTTGCAACCTCATGGACCATAGCCCACCAGGCTCTCCTGTCTATGGAATTCTCCTGGCAAGAATACTGGAGTGGGTTGCCATTTCCCTCTCCACCTGGGCTGCTAACTTAGTTGCAAAACCCAGGGGCTGGGTTGGCTTTAGGTATGACTTAATCAAGCCCCCCCACCCCCCCCTACAGTGAGAGGAAGTCTCCTGGTCCTGGTGTGTCCCTCTGTCCCCTCCACAGTCAGGAAAGCTGCCCCCTCCTTTTTAGAAGACGGCTGCAGCTGCTCCTTGCCTTATGTTCTCCCAAGTTTCAATGCCTCTGCTCACATATTCCCAGTAACAGTCTCGTCTCCTGTGTCCCATTCCAAATCAGTCAAGTGGCCTTGCCTGAATTGCATTCTACCTTCAGGGCTGTGGGTAGAATTGGTTTTACTGGAATCACATGAGCTGAGAGTGAGGGAGATTGGCACCTAAAGGACACTGTCAGTGGACCTAGGATGTTGGATGGTGGGTGACAAGGAAGAACCCGAATACCTACCACACCATTCTTGAAGATTATTTGCCCCCAGTAAAAGTCAAAAGGGTGAGATGGAGCATCCTTTTAGGATGTTGGTGGTGATTGTAACACTAGATGAGTAGGATGCCTTTTACTTGTGAATGCTCTGGGATCAGTCTTCCCCTCCTAGGCGAGGGGTGTCATAACTGGTGGACTCCCGTCTCCCTAAGGGAAGAGGGGAGGAAACGTGGAGTCCCTAACTTGTCTCCTGTGATAGAAATTCCAGATCTGAGCACCTGGACCCTCAACCCGGATGCCTCCTATGTGTATTACTGCGCCAATGAAACTGTGCATGGGGTGGAGTTTGACTTTGTCCCTGACGTCAAGGGGGCGGTGCTGGTCTGCGACATGTCCTCAAACTTCCTGTCCAGGCCGGTGGACGTCTCCAAGGTAAAGCGTGAAAGAGGCCTGGGTCAGGGGGAACCCAGCGTCTTGGTTTTTCTAAGGACATTTTAACATATACTAGGACAGGGAAGGGCCAACCTTGGTTGTCAGAATATTTACATCCGGACATTCACAGCCCTTTGTTGACAGTTGCCTCACAGGGTCATCCTTGAGTCCTTGGGGGAATTCACCTGCCTCTGAGAATGGCTTTCAGAAATTTTTTCATTGACACCTTGGGAATTGCTTGCTGTTGTCAAGGGAAGATATGCATTATCCAAACTTGGGGGGCTATGAAGGAGCCTGGCCTTACCTTGTTACCCACCCCAGCACCAAGAGCATCCATAGGACATGGAGATTTCCAGGTGACTCTCCAGGGTGGGCAGTGGGAGAGGCGCCCACAGTTGTGCAACATGGGGGGCAGGGTGATATCTGTAAGGAAGTTAAAAAAACGAAGTGGTAGTGTGCCTTTTAAAAAAAAATCTGGTAAAATATACTTATTATAAAATCGACCATTTTAACGATTTTTAAGCATACAGTTCAGTGGCATTAAGTACATATCCATGATTGTACAATCCTCATCACCATTCATCTCCAGGACTTTTTCTTCCCACTGAAACTCTGCATTAAACAACAACCCCAGTCCTTCCTTCCCCTAGTCACTGGCAATCACCATTCTATATATATATATGTATTTTTTTTTTAGTGTCTGTGAACATGACTGGTCTAGATAACCTCACATCAGTGGAGTCATGCAATATTTGTCCTTTCTTGTCTAGCTTGTTTTCACTGAGCATAATGTTCTCCGGGTTCACCCTTGTGGTAGCATGTCAGAACTTCATTTCTTTTTAGGCTAATAATATTCTGTTGTGTGAATATATATATTTTGTTTATAGCCTACTTTTTATTTTCACTTACCATACACTGGCAATTCTAAACAATGTCAATTGTGAAAATACCTCTTCCTGTTGGGCCAGGCTCTGCCCCTCCTCCCCTGTGGGATGCTGCTGAATTTTCCTAAAGGTTTCATGGGGAGACATGGAAGAGGGTTCTATATCTTACATGGAAATTGTCCCAAAGTACCTTAAAACATCTCTGTTTCTGAATTTTTTTCTCTGTTGGGCTGGTTGTCTCATTTCTCAGTGTCTTATGATTGTCCCTTTATAAAAATATAAGTAGATTTAAAAATTGGTTTCTTTAGGTTACCAAGGACAGCAGCCTTATTTTAAAGATGGGCTTGGATGTAGAAAAAAGATGTAATAGAGTGAATAGGAATAGATACAAGGTCTTCACCGTGGTGGGCTTGGGCTGGCCTCTTCCTGGGAAGGACCAGGCAGATTTGTAATCTGCAGGCTCTAAACTCACAAGTATTGATTTGCTGTCCAGATAGAGATTGCTTTAGAAAAGGGAATTTGCTCTGAACAGGATTAAAGTAGAGTTACTTCCTTATAAAAACTGTGTTTTAGAAAGAGATCAGGGAATTTGACATACATTTATGAAAGATGACCAAGTATGTTTAAAATAGCAGATTTTCTCTTTGGCAGTTTGGTGTGATTTTTGCTGGTGCCCAGAAGAATGTTGGCTCTGCGGGGGTCACGGTGGTGATCGTCCGAGATGACTTGCTGGGGTTTGCCCTCAAAGAGTGCCCCTCCGTCCTGGATTACAAAGTGCAGGCTGGAAATAACTCCCTGTACAACACACCTCCCTGTTTCAGGTAACTCCAGGGTGTGGCCTGGGGACCAGGGAAGGAGGGGGTCTCAGTATTTCCCATCAATACTAGGTGACTTTCTGAAGCCGGGCATGATTCTGAGCATTGGTAACCTAATCCCCCAGATGTCCTTTAGGATTGTCTGCCCAGCTTACCATTTCCTCATCCTCCTCTGTGCACTGTCTGATCAGCTTTCCTTGCCTTTGTTTTTGGGGTGTGGTTCACCATTAGCCCAAAAGCTTTCTGCACGTGAAATGTCATGCCTGCATCTCAATCAAGCAGTGCAACTTTAGAGAAGAACTTTCAAAGGCTGGGCTACCTGCCTTTTTTTCCCCTCGCTGGGCCTGCCTGAAGCCCACTACTTGGCATTGAACACACTGTCTGGAACAAACACTTCTCTGTTTTTCACCCAATCTGCAGGGGTCCTGTTAGCCTGGCTTCCTGTTAATCCTAGTCAGAGTCTGCATCATAGCACTTTTGGGGCGAGTAAGGCTATCCCACCTTATGGTCTTTTAACTCCCAGACACAGGTAGTTGGTGAAAACCTTTGTGATACCTAGGATTTAGCCTGATAAGTTTTATTACTAACAATCTGTGTGAGTTTGGGCAAGTTGCTTAATCTGTCTGTGCATATGGTCTCTCCAAAAGTAATTAGTTGCTGATGAGGATTGGATGATTAAAATATGTGTCTAAAGTGTGCTTGGAGGTTTCCCTCATAGCTGTCAGTAAAGTATCTGTCTGCGATGTAGGAGACCTGGGTTCGACCCCTGGGTTGGGAAGATCCCCTGGAGAAGGACATGGCAACCCACTCCAGCATTCTTGCCTGGAGACTCCGATGGACAGAGGAGCCTGTAGCGACTAAACCTCCACCACGAAAATATGCTTAGTGAATGCCTGGTTCTCAGTGGCTTATAACTGTTAGTGCTGTGTTATTATTTACCAGCAGGGTCTGAACCCAGACGGTCTGACTTGACAGCCTGGACAAGTGCACCCGTTACCTTCATGTTCTTTACCAGCAAGATGGCCAGTGTCGGTTTGTGTTGGAAGGATCCCGTCTCAGGAGAATAGATGGCTGTTGGAGTCCAGCTCTTTGAAGTTTTTCAGTGATAGCGGATGTTCTCGTAACAGAGCATATGAAGAGGGGCTTGGGCCAGTGCAGGCCTCGGCTCCATGGGGACCGGGGCTTTGTTAGCGGTCTCCCTCCGAGGCACAGCCTGTGGGAAAGACACTCCTTCCATATAACTTACCACAGGAAGAAAAGAGCTTTCTCCACAGCTGGAATGCTGGTGGAAATTGTTGCTGGCTTTCTGCTTGGCTCACGTAGGCTGCAGCAGCTCTTTACTCTGTGTCCCCTGCTTCCCTCAGGGAATGGAGGTGTCTGGTATTTTCTCCTGGTCGCCTGTCAGTCCCACTGCCTCACTCCCTTGAAAGTTCTTCTGAAGTGCCTGGTGGGGATTGCGGGGCAGGGCTGAACCTGTCTTGCCCACCTGTCCTGTCTCTGGGGTTTCTGGTAGTGGAAAAACCAGTGACCACTGGCTAGCTGGGAAGGGAGCCGAGCAGTGCTGGATGGTTGGGTCCCCTGGGGAAGGGGCTCTGGAGCCAGGCCACACCGCGCCAGGAGGTGCTGGGAGGCGTTCAGTCCTTACCTGTTAGAACAAGCCGCCAGGGTCTGGTCTCGTGCACGTGACTCTTTCAGGCAGAGGCGGAGACCACCGAGGCTCTGGGAGCGAGAAAGTGCACGGAGCCAGGAAAGCCCTGGCCCTGGATGTACCCTGAAGGCCAGCAGTTCTGATCAGAGCACAGCCTGGGGGAGCAGGATGAACTCTTACCCTCTGGCACCTTCTCTATGTGAATGAGTGACCTCGAAGTCAATTTTTTTAAAAAAATGTAATGAATGTGTTAAAAGGCAGCCTGCTACTATTAAAAGTCAGCAGAAATTGTGAGTTAACAAGTGAGTCTGTCTAATGGGAAATGAAAATGTCTGGAGTCAGACCTGGTGGAGGCAGGGAAAGAAAGTCCTCCTTGAGTGGCTCACTGAGGGTCATTCCCCTGCCAGTGCCTGTGCAGGCTTCTGCCCCAGGCCTTGACCAGTCCTGTGTGCAGGGTCAGCCTGGTCACCTGGCTCCCTGCCTAGAGCCTTTCTGCCCAAGGAGGGAGCTGAGCCAGACACACAGAAACAAGGAGAGAAAAAGAGCAAGGTTTCTTCTCCAGACAGATCAGGATAGTGAAAACTGAGGCCATCTCAGGGCAGGGCTGACAAGAATATTTGATCAGAATTGCATGTAGCTGATTCACTTTGTTGTACAACAGAAAGTAACACAACATTGTAAAGCAGTTACACACCAATTAAAAAAAGAGAGAATCATATAAATGCGGAGGTCAAAAGAGATTGGGTTAAATATATTCTGACCCAGGACACCCCTTGGTGTTTTGGGTTCTTTTACTCTAAAAGAAGAGAAAAGGAAAAACAGTAAGCATCTGTGTGATTGAGTAGCTACCTTCAGTCTATGACCTGAAAAACTAAGATTTCATTTGGTGTATTTTTAAGATTAGAAAATTGTAGCTCTCCCAGTGAGAACAAGCATTGGATGGAGAGAGGAGGATTTGTGCATGACACCCTCCCCAGGCTTGGCTGTGAGCTGATAAGGCACCTGAACAGTTCAGAAGTTTGTATCACATGGAAGTCCTTGAACATGTCCCAAGTTAAAAAAGAAGCACTTTTTTTTTTTTCTAATAAAATTAGAGCCAAGTGACCAGAGGCCCTGGACTGTTTGTTTGAACTCAGCTGGGCAACTGGCCTTCACATAATTGCCTGTAACCCTGAGCAGTGAATTGGGGTGGAATAAAGGACCACGTGGACATTCTGTTTAACACTAAGCCCAGTTTGTGGACATGCAAACAGATTCCTAAACTTCCCTTCTAACCCTATAAGGCAGATTTTCTTCTCATGACTAACGGGACCTGTAAGTATAAATTTGTTTTATCTATAGTATGAAGTAAAGTAGCTAGTGAGAAACAAAATATTCCCCACTAAACCAGAGCATCTTTCTTATCAGAATGGGAGTGTGAGCCTGCCCAGGAGGCTTAGTCCTTCAGAACAGCCAGGGAGAGTTTCCAGGGCTTTCTGGGGTGCTTTTCTAATCCCTAGTGCCCAAAAAGCATTTTGTATTGCTTAGAAAAGTTAACACAAAATCTTGGCAAAGATTTCTGAGGCGAAACTACTGTTAACTGCTTGCTGGGCAGAGCAGATGCAAATAAAGCCATATATTTAATTATGCAAATGAAATGTTACCATACAGGCTGCTTTGTGAATTCTTTTTCCATCCAGCAATGTACTGTGAACACACTGTGTCAGGACAAATGCCTGCCTTTTTTCCCCTTTGAATTGCTGTGTGATATTCCAGAGAATGGATCTGCTGTGATTTCGATAGTCACTTAATGCACAGGCTTAGACAGTACACTTACACTGTATGAAAAGAAAGTGAAAGTGTTAGTCCCTCAGTGCTGTCCAACTCTGCAACCCCGTGGACTGACTGTAGCTCTCCAGGCTCCTCTGTTCATGGATTTCTCCAGGCAAGAATATTGGAGTGGGTTGCCATTCCCTTCTCCAGGGGATCTTCCCAACCCAGAGATCAAACCTGGGTTTCCTGCATTGCAGTTGGATTCTTTACCATCTGAGACACCCGGGAAGCCCCAGTCTGGTGGCATTTTAGAAGTGAAGACAATATATCAGTTAAAAGTGATACCCTGGTTAGTGGGGAGAGTGGAGACCAAGTTGCAAGGCCACATAAGCATCTTAGGACCCCTGTGTTTTGAAGATTTTGGATGGTATGGGAGTGGAAGCGTGTGTTAGCTATCCATTAGGGGTTCTGGTTGAGTCATGAGGCCAGACATCCTTCCACTTCTGGGGCATCTGGTCTCCAGGAGAACCCGCTTCCTTCCAAGCCATCTGCCTTACTCTGAGGCTTTGTAGACAGAAGCTAAGGATGCTAGTTCTGGGTGGCTTGTAAAATGGGTGGGTTCTCTGCTGACTGTGCTGCTCAGATCTCATTAGGATTAGCCAGGAGCATGGGCAGTGAGTCTGGGTATGGGGCCGAGTCACACACCAGAGGGAAGTGTGCGGGTGCTGAGGTCTGGCTGGGACCATGGACCTGGTCTGAGCCTTTTTTGAAGCCGTGATTTGATGACTGAAATAGCAGCTTGGGAACTCTGGGAAGACAGCTGCAGTGAGAAGTGAAGCTCAGTCACTAGTGTGTACTGTTGAACAGACAGGACTCACAGGTGACTCTGCTGGGATCATGTGGCTGGGTGGGTTTATGTGGTTCCTGGGGGAACGAGCAGTTTGGGGTTAGGTGGAAATTCTAGCGCATCTTACAGGAAAGTGGGAGAACACCTTATCTGGAACACACGTGTGAGCTGTTGCGCCCCCGCAGCAGCTGCTGTGGTGCCGGCCTGACCAGCCCACGGGCAGGTGAAATCGTGGTTGAGGGTCTGGAGCCCCCTTGTTATTGTGAGAAGAGGTGGCGCTTTGGAATCAGACCAGCTGGTGTTGGAATCCTGCTTTATCAGCTGCCTGTTGGGTGTAAAAATCATGCAGAGTCAAGCTCTCTGAGCCTGTTTCCTCATCTGTAAAATAAGATGATGGCAGCTCTGGCCTCAGATTTTTTTTGATCAGTAAAAGGGAGGGCAGCCAACAGGGCGCCTGGCCTGCTCAATGTTGCTTCCCTCCCCTTGCTTTCTGCTCTGCCCCTCTGATCTCTCAGTCTTTATCCAGAGAGCTTCAGCTGAGGCTATAAACACCCAGCGGCTGATTTCTGCTTTGAGCTCCCTCCCCTCTGGCCCTGGACACTACTTCTCATTCCTTCCAGGGCCAAGTGGGGAGCCCGCTGGGGAAGCTTCCGGAGGAGCCATCGCGTGCTTCTGGGTACAGGCCGTTCTCTGCCCAGGGCCCCGGGGCAGCCCCACATTGGCTTCTGCTACCTTCTGGGGGTGGAAATACCACAGTTCTCCAGCCACCTGGAAGCAATGAAGGGGCCAGTCAGTATCTTGGGCTTCCTTGGGACAAGCTTCTTGTGTAAAGAGTGTCTTCCCTTCCCCACGCTGTCACAGTGGTAATAAACGAGGCAGCAGCTATGTTTGGGGGGGGTCCCCACCCCAGACCTTCACTGGACCTGGACACCCAGCAACTAAGTCTACACAAATTCCTCTGGGGAACCTTTGTCCCCCCTCGTAGACAGGGCATAGCTGGCCTCCTCCATATGCCCAGCTCGAGCTGTGCCTTTTCCACAGGAGACCTCTGTTCCTGCCCCGTGGGCTTTCAGTGAGGTACACGTGGAGCCCTTCACACCATTGTATTTTTCATTTTTTGGTTGTGCCGTGTGCCACGTGGAATCTTGGTTCCCCAGCCAGGGAGCCAATCTGCGCTCCGTGGACTGGAAGCTCCGAGGCTTAACCACTGGACCACCAGGGAAGTCCCTTCAGCAGTTTTATTTTTTTTCTTTTTAAAGAAATTTTTTCTCTTTTAAAAATAATTTGTCTAATGGTGTCTTTAAGTCTATTTTAGTACAGCTTCATTTTGCTCAGATGTCTTGTCATTTGTGCAAAACTGATCTAAATGGATAATATGTATTTTTTTTACTCTTTGTTTTAGCATCTATGTCATGGGCTTGGTCCTGGAGTGGATTAAGAACAACGGTGGGGCAGCAGCCATGGAGAAGCTTAGCTCCATCAAATCGCAAATGATTTATGATATTATTGATAATTCGCAAGGATTCTATGTGTAAGTGGATGGTTTTTATCTCACATTTTGCCTCTTGTGAATTGAAAACTGTGTTTATGCTGTGTTGGTTTTGGAACATGGATGCAGCCATCTTTCTGTGAGACACTGAAGTTCCCAGGAGCGTGAGGCACGTGAGTTTTCCCTCCTGGATCTCCACCCTAGGAATACCGGGCTTTGGGACCTGTCTCCCACTGGTGGTGAAATTGCTCACACTGCACACCCCTCTCTCCCTACCACCTCCTCTCCATGTCCCTGGGGACAAAACGTGAACATGCTAGAAACTCTCAGCTTTGTCTCAGGACTCCACTGGAGACCCTTGGTATAAGCACCCACTCCTGACCTCTCTGGGATATTTACCCTTTTAGAAAAGTTTACTCTTTCCCCTATCACAGGACAAACTCTCCAATCCCAGGCCTGTAGTCAGTGAATGGAATTGGCTCTGATATAGTTGATTCCTAGTTAAATGTCTTTGTGACTAATTGATTCATGAACATGTGTTGACCCCTGGACCAGCTCCAGAAAACCTATGAGCCTTGTATTGATCTCTTAGGGATGCTAGAGCAAAAGTACCACTAACTTGGTGGCTTAAAACAAGAGAAATTTATTTTCAGTCATTGGGAGTCTAGGCGTTCAAAGTCAAGCTGTCAGCACAGCTTTGCTCCCTGCAGAGACTCCCAAGAAGAGTCCATTCCTGGCCTCTTTCAGCTTCTGGGGGCTTTGGGCATTCCTGCCTCACCCCAGTCTCTGCTTCTGCTTCACGTGGCCTTCTCCTTCCTTGTGTATCTTCTTTTCTGTCTTTCACAAGGTGGTCATTGGATGTAGGATATACTCAAATAATCCAGGATGATTTATCTCATCTAGAGATCCTTAGCTTAATTGCACCAGCAAAGCTCCTTTTTCTTTTCTTTTGCAGTAATTACTTTAATTATTTGGCTGCTCCAGGTTTTAGTTGCAGCATGTGGGATCTAGTTCCCCGACCAGGGATTGAACCCTGGCCCCCTGCATTGGGAGCACAGAGTCCCAGTCACTGGACCATCAGAAAAGTCCCAACCCTTTTTCTTACTAGGTCACATTCACAGGTGAATGTGGAGGTGAGCACATGGATAAACCTTTGCAGAGGCCACCATTCAACCCCCACAACAGGCCTCTCACCAAAATGCCACATATGAAGTACCTACTATAGTGTCTGCTACACAAAGAATTTAACAGGTGATGGCTCTCATTTGCTGTCCCTTCCTTTAAGGTGGGGACACCTGTGGGAGGATCTGACTTTATACTGTGTATCCACGCCCATTTGTACACACATATGCATAGATACTCTCATTGACCAAGCCAGGACCCCCTTCTTAATGGTCTTTACACTTCGGAGTTCCATCTGTTGTAACAAAAACATCTAGTTGACAATAGCAAAGGAATGTTCGCTCCCTATTGAGAACTCGGTGGGCCACATAAGACCAAAAAAAACCCAAACAAACCAATGCCTCAAACCTGACTTAGAGTTGTATGTTTTACACAGGACTTGCTAACACGTCTCCATAACCAACCATGGGTGAGGGGTGGGAGTGCATTTTTGGGGCAGCCATAGCGGCTGCTGTCATCTCTGATGACATCATGTCATCTATGTCATCTATGATGACATAACTGATTGCCTGCTCCTATGAGTTCTTGGCCTGCAGCCACAAGCCCTCAGGGGGTCCAGCTTGGCTGAATGACTTAACCTTTGGGGTCCTCTTCCGTACGCCATCTGGGGTAAGGGATTCCCCACTATGCATTTCTGCCTTCTCTGTGGTTCTGTGGCTTGGCCCTTGGGAATCTTCCATTTCAGATCCCGGTATTGGAGAGGTGAAGCCAGAGTACTCCACTAGCACTCACTAGAGCGATTTTAACATGTGTGATTGGCAATAGATGGTCCAAGGATAGCCAAGGGCTAAATGATGGGTCATGAGCTGAGGACAGGAGGATGCTGCTTTGGCTGGAGGAGAAGGGAGGGCTTTTATTTTTTATTTTTTTATTTTTTGGGAGGGCTTTTAGATGGCTTCAGCCTTGGGCAGGAGTAGAATGAGGCAGAGAAGAAGGCAGAAGTTCTATAAATTTTTAGGAAGGCAAAGAATGGCCTCTGTAAAGCACTGAGGGAAGAAAGTAGTATGTTTGGAGAGCAGAGAGTGGGCTGCCTAGAGGGCATGGCTTGTGCTGGGATTGAAAAGATAGTGTGGAAAGGTCTGAAGACATGTTTAATTCATTAGTTCATTTACCCATTTGTCTGTTTACCCATCCACCCACCCTCCATCTACCGATCCATCTACCATCCATTTACCCATCTATCCATCCAGTCGTCTGCCCACCCATCCATCCATCCACCCCTCCAGTAAATGGTGCCTGAGCACTCCTCTGGGCTAACCTGGTTTTAGGCTCTGGTGTTACCAAGAAGAATAAGTCTCCTTTCCTGGCTTCCTAAGAGTGCACAGTATATGAATGCAATTGAGAGCACGTGGCAGCTATTGTGAAGGGGAGACCAATTTTTCTGTTAGCATTGACTTCATGTGTTTCTTGGGAAATGTATAGGCACAAAATGGGAGGACAGAAAGTATGGTGATGCCCCCGGAAGAAATCCAGGGCATTAGAAAGAAAATAAAGTATAGAAGGAACACCACAAGTCCAAGAAATTCTTCCCCCTACTTGAGATCCTTTAAATACAAACACCCCCCAGCATCTTCCAGAAGGCAGCCTGCCAAAGCCAACATGGCAGGTGGGTTGTCTCCTGGGCAATCTGATCACTTTCCCATGCGAAACTCCTCATTCACTTATGAACAGCCTTTTGAGCCCGAACTTACATCCTCTTCTGAATAAACCACTTTCTGGGAACTCCCATTCAGCCCTGGGCCGCCTGCCCAGAAAATGTCATCCTGGCTCATGGAACTCCTGTGGAACCTTGTTACCACAGTCAGGAGTACACTTTGCTCCCCGTCACCCCTGTTCAGCAGTTGGACACTCATGAGCTGTCTCTATGTGCATCTGGATTTTCAGGAAATTCTTTGCTATGGAAATATGGCCCTGAAGGGGAGGTGAGCAGTTTCTAAGAGGAATACCAAGGGACCTAGAGTTGGAATTTACCATTTACCATCACTTTTGCTCCTCATTTTTGTCCCCTCTTTGGTGACCCCCCAGCCTGGTAAAGCAGCCCCTTTATGGAACACAGTTTTGGGCAGTTTGCTGGGGGTTGGACCAGCTCTGCCAGTGTTCCTGGCCGGGGACTCAGAGACTTGAGAGGGCCACTACTGAAGTCCCCGTTCATTCTCTATCCTGACCACCCACAGTTACTGGCTGGCTGTGAGTTGAGCCCACGTGGGCAGTGTAGCATCTTGGCCGTAGAAGCCCCGCATTGCCACTTACTAGCATGTGGCCTTGGGCAGGTGTCTTGACTGCTCTAGACTTAGTTTCCTCATCTGTACAATGGACATAGTCCATAGAATATTATGACCATTATGAGGGTTAAATGAAAATGCGTATGAATCAAGAGTATATAATGGAGGGGTTTAAGGACTCTTGTTCTGGGCCGTTTGTGTAAAGCATGAGAAACCCTACTTGGTATGTAGGGAGCATTCCTGAAAGTTAGCTCTTAATATTATTTGTGGTTTATTATGGAAAGCACCTCGGATGTTCCTGGCACATAGTGTTTAATATGTATTAGATACTAATTTTTTAGAATTTATTTTAACTGAAGGATAATTACAGTATTGTGATGGTTTTTGCCATCCATCAGTATGAATTGGCCATAGGCATACATGTGTCCCCTCCATCTTGAAACCACTACCCGCCCCTGCCTCCCTCCCCACCCCATCCCTCCAGGCTGTGACAGATCACTGACTTTGGGTGCCCTGCGTCACATATCAAATTAAAATGTTTTAGATATTAACTTTAGCATGCTAAAGATGTCCAAGTGGTACAATCCATTTCAGATCAGAGGTCACCTCTTCTCATCAACTTCCTATGGGAACCAGGCCTTAGGAGAGAGGGAAGCACCTAATGGGTCCAGTGACAACCCGAAAATAAAGCAGGCAGAGCTCTTGGTGTTTGCAGATATCAGTACATTTTATTGTCACTTCCTTGTGAGCAGACAGTGTTTTACAGCAGCACAGACGGGTTAGGGTCAGGTGCAAAGAGAAGGTGGGGTCCGACAGGGTGTGAACGTGGGGAGAGTCGGTGGGGCTGGTCTCAGGGCCTTTAACTACTACGCTAAGGAGACAACAGAAATCACAGATGATGTGACTTCCTATTCACAATGCAGGAATCAGTGGAAAAGATTAGAAACGATTGTGTTCGGAACTGTCATCAGTTATATTGAAATGTATAAAAGTCAGTTACTTTCCCAAATTCCAGAGGTAACAATAAAAAATGAGGAAAGATCCAATTCACAATAATCACAAACATTAATAAATATTAGTTCAGTGTTTAACTAGGAAAGTTAGTGCAAGAGGATAGCTGAAAAATGTTTAACATATGTGGACATTAGTAAAAGGTAATATTAGCATATGATCTATTAAAATACAAAGCTACTGGCAGAGGGAAAGACAGATAACTGGAAAAGTTCACCAACTTTTGTTTACTTGAGAATTGCATTTTGGTTTTTTTTTGTTGTTTATTTTTTGGACACATATGGGATCTTATTTCCCTGAACAGGGATTGACTCCACACCTCCTGCATTGGAAGCGGGATGTCCTAACCAGTGAACCACCTGAGAAGTCCCTGCATTTTAAATTAGACAAAAAAAAACATGTTTTCAATTGATTGAAGCACTGATAATTTATTTAAACAAAAACTAGAGTTATATATTTTCATCATGCTATACATAAATTCTAATCAATCAAAAAGATGTGAATGCATTGAAATGCAAGACATACATATAAAATGCAGGAAAGAATTTCTGTTTAAGTATAGAGTGTACAGAGGCTTTCCAAAATAAGCCATAAAACTCAAAAGCCATAAAGTAAAAGATGTCTAATTACATTAAAAATTTGAAACTTTGCTACAGTTCAAGACATCATAAACCAAACAAAATGATAGATATAAGAAAAACTTGGTAGCATATAACTTATAAGGGTTACTTTTCCTATAGGGAAGAATCCACAAATTAAAAAGGATAAACCAAAACAAAAAACAAACCAGGCCGGAGGTGGTCTCTAACTGTATGAGCAAACAGTTGGGAAGAGACAGCTGGCTAATGATGAAAGGGGTTAATTTCTTTAGGAAATGCAGATTAAAACCAGGAGGTGTTTCCCTTCTGATCAACAGAAATTCTAAAGATTGATAACAGCTGGTATTGGCAAGGGACCACACTTTGGTTATGTCGAGTGTAAATGTGTTCAATCTTGGAGTGAGGTTGCAACACCCATCAAAGTTCACAACTCTTGCACTTGGACCAAAGACTTACCTTAGGCACCTGCCCTCTGCCAGTACTCTGCCTGGCGTGGAAGTGTGCACAAAATCAGGTGCGCGCAAGACCAACGTGGGATGCTTACCTAATGGGGAAAATCTGGAGTCCACCCAGGTGTCCTTGAGGAAGGGTCTGATGAAGGAAATTAGGGGCCATCAATAGTTTGGGGTGGGGCTTGCCAGGCAGCTGGCACCCTATTTGCTATTTGTTTGGGGTCTCCAGGGCTTGACGGACACGGCTCTCTGCCACACACTGTTCCTTCCCCTCACCCTGTCCTAACCCCTCCCTCATACCTTCCTCTGAAACCTTTCAACCTTCTCTGGGGAGAATTACTTGCTCAGCTCTTTGCTTCCACAGGGCTTGTCCCGTGGAATTTTAATTCCCTACATAGCTGTCTTGCTAGGTTGGGAGCAACTAATTCTCCTAATCTATTTCTTCTTTTCCTCAGCCCCACATCAGAGAGACTGTCGGGCACTGTGCAGGTATCTTCTGCATGCTAATTTAATCTTCAGTTTCTAGGTTTTATGACATTATAGCTGTTATGGTACCATCTACTTTCACAGTAGGATGGGTGAATTTGTGGGGGAAAACTGTAAATACAGATTTGTGTTTACAGATTTGTAAACCCAGGTTCTTAATTCTTCCCCTTTTTAATATTTTTTACCCTTAAACCACATGTCCTTTTTGCTGCTCCAGCTCTATAATTGGACCCTTGCATGGGGAGCCTGAGGCAGCAGAATATCAAAGGAGGTAGACACTAAAATTTTAATTTAAATGTCAACCAGGAAACCTACTACCTGTGAAAAGGTGGGGGCCAGAATTCCGGCTCAAAGCCTATTACCAGAGACCTGATTTCCCTTCTTGGGTCTCTCTTGTCTGTTAATTTGGACTTGACTCCTGTTAACTTTAACAAGAACTGTGTGTGTGCCTCAGGGGTGAGCATCGCTGTTAATGGGGGGCTTCCTCACACTGCTTTTATTTGCTGTTTAATTTTAATGAATCCTACCCTGTAGAAATGGAAGGATAAAACAGGATGTGCTTGAGAAGATGGGGAAAGAGAGTTATGACATATTTTCCCTTGTATTTCAGAGCAGCATGTCAGCTCTCCTGTTTGTCTCATTTGGTTGTCAATGAAAAATAATTTTGGCTTGCTTGCTTTCCAAATCAGAAACTGAAGTCAAATACTACCCTATCCTAGATGAAATTTGACTCATTCATGTTGAGAGTCTGTGTGAGCCCCGTGCAAGGTGCTGGGAATAAAAAGACAAATTTATTGGATTTTAACAGATACTTATATAGCATTGAATGTATCCAGGCACTCTTCTAAGTTGTGTCAGTTGTCTGCCTTTGCATCACACACAGAAAACTTCAAGACTGACTTAAAACCACAGCCATTTTCATTGCTCAGGATTCTTTTCCGGCAGCAGGTTGAGCTGAGCTCAGCTGGGTGGTTTCTTCTGCTGGTCTCCTCTGAGATCACTTATTCAACCAAAGTCATCTGGTGATTCCCCTGGAGTCTAAAATGGCTTATGCTCACCTGTCTGGCAGCTGGTACTGGCTGTTGGCTGGGGCTATTGTTCCTGCAGGCTAGCCTGGGCTTGCTTACATAGCAGCAGTGTTTGAGGAAGACAGGTATAGAAGCTGCATGTGCCTTGCCTTGGCATGGCATCATTTCTGTTGCAGTCTCTCTCTTTGTAAAAGCACTGTTTGTTTATTTTAATTGGAGGATAGTTACTTTACAACATTGTGATAGTTTTTGCCATGTATCAGTATGAATCAGCCATAGGTATGCATGTGTCCCCTCCATCCTGAACCTCCCTACCCACCCTAACCCTCCAGATTGTCTCTTGGTCAAAGCAAATCCACGAGGCCAGCACAGATTCAAAAGCTGTGAACACTAGGCCTCACCTCTTGCTGGGAAGGCTACAGAGAATTTGTGGCCGTTTTCAAACGTACCACAGAAATTCTCTGCAAATACTTTGTTGTTTAGTTCTCACATCAGAGAGGTACAACAGGGAGAGTTAATAAGTTGTTCAAGGTCACATGATTTGGGACACTTTAGTCTTGTAAGTGCTTTGAAAGTTGCTGCTCATTATTTTTAAAATCTTACAGCCACTATTCGGACCAACTTTTTCTTCTCTGCAGCCTTGTAGAGAAAGGGTTATTCACGTTGCTCTGTGGCTGCCATGTGTTGGAAGCTTCATATATGTTGTGTCACTGAGCTGTCAAAACTTGTCTGAAATGGTGATTTTATTAATATTCCCAATATTTGGATGAGATAACTGAGGCTCTTAGAAATTAAGTACAAGCTTTATAAGAGAACGCCAACTCCCTTTTCCAAATGCAAATGTGATCTCCTTAAGTAAATTATAAATGTCCTGGGGCAGATTTTTAACCTCTTGTTGCATCTAGAAAATGGTTTTTAAAAAACCTTCTGTTGACTTGTTAAAGTTGTACATTGCAAACAATTATCTGCAACAATAAACGTGTTTTTCAGATGTCCAGTGGAGCCCCAGAATAGAAGCAAGATGAATATTCCATTCCGCATTGGCAACACCAAAGGAGACGATGCTTTAGAAAAAAGATTTCTTGACAAAGCTCTTGAACTCAATATGATCTCCTTGAAAGGGCATAGGTGAGTACATGTTGCATCCAGAAGCTTGTCAGAGAATTGGTTTAGTTTTCAGATGCAGTGAAAGTGTTAGTCGCTAAGTCATGTTGGACTCTTTGTGACCCCATCGACTGTAGCCCGCCAAGTTCCTCTGTTCATGGAATTCTCCAGGGAAGAATACTGGAGTGGGTAGTCATTCCCTTCTCCAGGGGATCTTCCCGACCCAGGGATCAAACCCATGTCTCCTGCATTGGCAGGCGAGTTGTTTACTGTCTCAGCCACCAGGGAAGCCCCTTCAGATGCAGAGAGAGTAAAACACATCCAGGTGCCCGCCCAGCTTGAAGTAGCAGTTACTGTAACTAGTTGAAAAAGACCAGTTATTACAGGAGAATCTTCCTGTTGCTTTTAGAACCCTTAGCATGATTTTTCAGCTGAGAGTATGATGGAGCCCCATCTTCTAAGAGCTTTGGTCAAAATTACCTTTGAGGCTCTCTGCTGTGACAGCTCAGAGGTTGCCATCCCATCCATGGTGCAACTGGCACAACCCTGTCCAATGTAAGAAAGAGCCACTATTGCTTCCGCTGGACATCAGAAAGAGTAGTTAATCCTTTAGGCTGCATGAAAAATGTTTGTCCTCACCCACAAGAGCACCTGCCAGCCCTCTGCCCTCTGTACGTCAGGCTCATCAAAGAGTTGAGTTAACCTAGGTCACATGTGAGCACGACGCTCACTGTATTGGGAAGAATTTCTAAGGACTGAGATGTTTGAAGCTCTTGGCCTCCTATGGGTATTCTCAGGTGAGGAGTTGGACATGATGATCTCAGGTGCCATGGCTCTTAAAGGAGTGGGTGACTGGAAGGAGGGTGGTCTTGACATTAAACCAGATGCTCCTGTTCTTAATGGCTGCATCTGTGGTCCTTCCAGGTCCGTGGGAGGCATCCGGGTCTCTCTGTACAATGCCGTCACTGTCGAAGACGTCCAGAAGCTGGCAGCCTTCATGAAGAATTTTTTGGAGATGCACCAGCTATGAGCGCATCCTGACCAGTATATAATCTGCCCTTGAACAATGAACGAAGCTGAAAGTCACTTGGGAATGGTTACAAAAATATTAACAAATATGGCATTTTCTCGAGTGATATGATAGATTCTTCTTTTTTAGAGAAAAACAGCAACATATCCGCAGCTCTGCCAAACTACTGGGACTAAATCTTAATTCTGACTTTAACTGGAAGCCTTTAAAAACATCTTCCCTCTCGTTTTTTTAAAAACTCTTAATATTGTCTTTGCTGATACTCTTTCTGCTTAGATCTCGTATTCAAAGCTGCCTATGGCTTTAATTATGCAAATTGGCAGGTTATTATTTTTAGAAACACACAAACAGCATAGAGGGTGGGGTGGGGCCCTCTGGGTGCTGAAATTTGATCCTTTGCAAGATGACAGCAGTGGGGGTCTCCTGGAGTTCTGCAGCTATTAATTCGGGTCACCACCGTCCATGGGGTGAATGTTTAGGAGTTCAGACTAAAAGGCAGACTGGAAATCTTTCTTTATACTGTTATTCTCCTAAAGAGATGAAAGTGGCATACTGTATGTTTATATAACAAGGTCTGTTTTTAATACTAAATAGTTTATATCTCTGTGCACTTAATGTTTTCTAATAATACAGTTCGTGTGGGTATATGTTCAGACTTTGAGAATTTGATAGGCTTCTTAACCTTGTGCATCGAAGTGTTATGTTTTCAATGGTTGTGTTCCTCCCCTACCCCTTCCTTTTTAAAGATACTTCACAAGGTTTGGAAGCTCCCTGATTCATTTCCTATTCCTCTCAGTGGGTAGAAGAAAGGTTAGTTGGTTGATTGTTTGTTTTTCAGTTATGCCGTTAAACTAAAAATCTCTGTTAAACTCCTCTTTCATTTGTTCACATGACTGTTTAGGGTGTTTGGCCAGTGATGCTGTGAGTTTGGGAAGATCTTTGCTGAAGACTCTTTTCCCCTGTTATTCAGCCATTGTCAGTGTTTTATGTTGAATATATGAAGGACATTAAAGTCCTAAAACATCTAAGTCTTTGTCAGTGAATTTCTTTACCTGCTTTTTAGACAGATTGTTCTTTTAAAAAATTCCTGTTGGGAAAACTTGAGTCTAAAAATAGCACCTGTGAACTGTATTTTGTTCAGCTAAAAGTGCAAGACTTACATTCTCTGCATCCATGTTTGTAATGATTCAGCACACTGGTAACTTTCCACTGGCTCTTGGAATGGACAGTATCAACAAACGACCTTATAACACAGCTCACGGTATAAAGTTCTATGATGTTTGCCCCAGTTCAGTTGAAGACATGCCAGCAGGACAGTATTGAGCTATCTTCATGTTTTGTTGGATTATGTAACAAGGACCTACTGATCTTTCGTCTGAGCCCTACGCCAATTAGTTGGGTTAGTTGCGTTTCTCTGCTTAGGGCTAAGCATTTACAGGCCTGGTTCTCTCATCTTTAAAGTGAAGTGAAAGTTGCTCAGTCATGTCGAACTCTCTCTGATCCCTTGGACTATATAGTCCGTGGAATTCCCCAAGCCTTGGAGTGGGTAGACTTTCCCTTCCCCAGGGGATCTTATCTTCCCAACCCAGGGATCGAACCCAGGTCTCCTGCATTGCAGGTGGATTCTTTACCAGCTAAGTGACCAGGGAAGTCCTTTCTTTGAAAAGGAGGATAGAGATAATTCCTCAACTTTTCTCAGCGATGTTTAAAGAGCATAAAACAAGGGCTCAATGCAGGATGTGACTAATAACCACAGTAAATATTTAAATAGCAAAAACTGCCCAGTCCATGGACTCCACCCAAGTGTTTACATGTCATAGCATTCAGAGTCTATTTCACCTCGTTCCTCATCCATTCACATGATGGTTGCAAGTCCCTGTGGTTTGTACCAACCCCAAATCTCTTGAATCTCCACTTATTTCCATTCCCCTTGCCACAATCAGCTCTGCCAGCCTTCAGAGGGTCATTTCAGCAGCCTCACCTGCCCACACCACCCCCTACAGCACAGAGGATCACTTCATGCTCCTCTTTGGTTCTTCAAAAGGCCCAGGCTTCTTAGCCTAGCAGTCACAGCTTTGTAGCATCTAGTCTGGCCTTTTCTTTTTCTTAAATTTTGAATTGGAGGATAATTGCTTTACAATGTTGAGTTGGTTCCTTCCATACAACAACATGAATCGGCCATAATTCACATGGGACATATGTCCCCTCTCTCTTCAACCTCCCTCTCAGCCCCACCTCACTGCACCCTCTAGGTTGTCACAGAGCACGGAGGAGTTGAGCTTCCCGTGTCATGCAGAGACTTCCCACTAGCTACTTTACATATGGGAATGTGCATGTTTGGCCTGTTCTTTCTTGTGTTTCTTGTTCTTGGAATGTCATGCATAAGCCCATGCTTCCACATAATAAGCCTGGAGTTCCTGCCCCAACTTGGCAAGACTAGCCTCCCTTCAAGACACCTGCCAACCTCCTGACCTTGTTTGTGTCTCCTACACGGCAACCCTGCTCTTTTCCTCTGTTCTTCCAAGGGTGACCCTGTTATCCCATCACAGCTCCTCCATTCCGTTCTTTACTGAGTGTGTCTGTTTACCTGCCCTCCCCACTCGAGCAAGGAGCAAGTCCTGTTTCATCACCTACATCACCTGACATCCTGCTTTGCCTGTGGGGATGCTCAGCAATTATCTAATGAATGGAAAGGGAGGTCTTCCTGAATTTCGCAAACAGCCTGCCATAAGGGCAGAGGTACAGTCTCACGTAGGAGGATTTTTTAATTTTCAAAAGCTTAGTATACAATTTAATTTTTCACAAAAACTTAAAATCTTGGATGGCTCCCAGGCTCTTCTTTATGTATCTGTGAAAGTGTTTGAAAATTTTTCAGCACCTGCTGCATTTGTACCAGTCCAAAGGGTAGACACTGTTGTCTGGACAAAGGAAGGTTCTGGAGCACACATGGCTGGAATACGCTCATTGAATGAAAACCTTGACCTCTGTGTGTCTCAAGTGAATAAACTGACGTCAGGCTGCTGACCACGTGGAAAGAGAGGAAAGAGGAGATAAGGATGCAGGCCCTGGGTCAGCAGGCTGTGGGAGCCATGACTGGCCAGTCTTGATTCAAAGCCAAGTGGACAGAAAAGTGTCTTTCAGGCCTTGGGAAATCTGTGTAAGGCTTGGTGGCCGTATGCTGCTTGAGATTCTCCCAACTGTACCTCTTCCCCCAAACTGATTTTAAAGTTTTATTTTTCTCTTTCAAAATTTGACAACACATAGTCACGTTAATACCACCCAGGTGAGAAAAAGCAGATTTATTTTCACATTGCATGTTTACCTCCTGACACCGCTTTGTGCCCAGAACTGCAGCTCTTTGTGTCCATGAGAAGTGATACTGTGTCCTATTCCATGCTAGTCTGTGCTTATCTAAACATCTAATGCTGTCTCATCACAGCTTAGCAGGGCTGGGAGGCTTGGCAAGCTCTTAGGTAAACTATGTGATATAGCAAATAATTATTCCCTTCTCCCTTTTGAGCTTAAGGAGCCAGTAAGACCCGTAAAATGGACAAACCCCATTGATAGAGGTCTAATTTGGCTGAAGGCACTTGCAGGTCTAACCTTGAATCACTCTATGATTAATGTTTGTTGTGTCATGTTCTTTGGAAGGAAAATGAAATGAGGAAGAATTTCTTCACATTTGATCAGAATGCACATAATTAAAAAGTAAAATGCTACTGTGTCTGCAAAGAAATCAGTCACTTTAATTGGAAGGACGATTCCTTCCCTCTGTTAGTAATTGGGCTTTTGGTAATTTAGCATCAGAATCCATGACAGTTTGTGATAAATTGGCTCTTTTTGGGCTAAAGAAGGTAAGAAGTTCTAATTACACTTGGATCATTCCAGAGTAGATGGAAAAAGCTTGATCAAAGAGATATTGGGAGAGAGAGAGAAGAGCTAGCAGTGAGCAAAGATTTATTGAATTTCTTTTTAAGAAGATAAAGAATAAAATAGTTCATTTGATGTGACAAAAACTATAGCTTGTGGTATTTGAAATCCCAGAGATATAAATTTGATTTTCTAAGAACTGGGTATATTAGAAAGAGTTTATGGACAAAGAGGTTCTATAGTTAGGTTATAGAAATTTGCCTTGTTTACTTGTTAGCACATGAGAATATTGATGACATTGGACTTCACTTGGGGAAGGTATGGAATTTGTACTTTGAGGGTTTAAACATGTAAGTAATTGGCACTAAGTTTAAGGAAGTCCAAGTTATTTTATTCAAATGAAAGCATACTTTAAGTTGGTAGAAATATCCTCAGAATACTAATGTATGAATCTACGGACTCAGTGCCTGTTTTTATTTTAGACTCTGTTTCTCTTCAGATTGCCTAACAATACCTGAAGGATAATCTGGATCTTAGGTTGATGCATTTATTTTGAATTCTGTGTATTTATTTTATATAGATACAGGTATATTATTACAGATAAAATTTCAAAATTAAAGAGGAGTTGCAAGATTAGTACAAAGAACTCTTGTATATGCTTTACCTAGATTCACCAATTATTGATTTTTAGCTTTATTTACTTTGGCATCCACCATCTCTCCATATATGTTTTTTGCCTGAACCACTTAAGGGTAAAGAGATGCTGTGCCCTTTTACCTGTAAATAGTGATTATTTCCTAAGAGCAACAACATTTTCTTACCAAACCACAGCACAGTGGTCTAAGTCATAAATTTAACATTGATGCTGTTCACTAATCTATATCCATATTCATATTTTTCCATTTAGTCCCATAACATCCTTAAGAGCTCATTTTTTCAGGAACCAGTCCATAACCATGCATTGCACTTAGTTCTTATGTCACTTTGGTCTAAACAGGAGATAGTTCTTCAGCCTCTTTGTTCTTCATATTATTGAGTAGAGCAGGGGCTGGTTGTTGGGTAGAATGATCCTCAGTCTGGGTGTCTCCTCTATTTCCTCGAAGCTGTTTCATGTTATGTGCTTTTGGTGA